CACACCCTTAACGAGACCGCTTACCTCTGCACCACGGCGAAGTTATACATATGAACCTTGAACAAAAACGAATACATTATGTAATTCTAAATTGAGAAATTCCATTTCTTGTCTGTAATCCTTATTAATTTCGAGGTATTTTGTTCACGATAAACGTGCTGATGAAAATAATTTATCGAAAATCTTCTCGCCAAAACAGTCTGACATGTATATATTCCACTACTCGACAGTCAGATTTATTTGTGTACTACGCTCTGGAGTATTCGGTAATCGGCATAGCTAAAAATAGCATTTCCATTGATTAAAATGATATTCATGATAATCCTAAGCTTTACCGAAATAACCGAACATTTTTCATTGGGTAAAAAAGATATTCATCCGCGAAATTTGTGATTGTAACCTCATATTTCTATTGCCTAATCTAAACTTTTAATGCACTGTAATTCGTTAAATGCCTTCATTAAATATTATTCTTTCTTTTATATTGCTGGTTTTTAAGCAGTTTTGAGTGAGAACTACTTTGCGTTGTTAGGACTGTTAGGAAATTTTGTGTTAGACCGTGGATGTTAGCTATGTATTTACTGATCATACGATCAGAAAATACAAAAAACACCTTTTTATCAAAGGGCCATAACTCGGCAAAAAATCATTCAACCGGAAAACCTGTGCAATATGCGCACGGACTTTAGCTACAGATCAATCCTGTAAAGTTTCATTGAAATTGGTGGTAAAAGAGAAGTAGTCAGGACAAACTTTAAAAATAAAAATTATTAAAGGGCCATAACTCTGACAAAAATCATTGAACCGTAAAATGCCGACAATATGCACAGCTAGACATGGTACTGATCATTCCTGTAAAGTTTGGATGAAATTGCAACAGTGCATTTGTAGTTTATGAGGAGTAGTCCAGACAAGCTTTTGTGTATCTGGCAACACACAGAAAAAAACACATTTTTATCAAAGGGCCATAACTCGACCAAAAATCATTCAACCGGAAAACCCGTGCAATATGCCCACGGACTTGAGCTACAGATCAATCCTGTAAAGTTTCATTGAAATTGGTGGTATAGAGAAGTAGTCACGACAAACTTTAAAAATAAAATTTATTAAAGGGCCATAACTCTGACAAAAATCATTGAACTGGAAAATGCCGATAATATGCACAGCTAGACATGGTACTGATCATTCCTGTAAAGTTTGGATGAAATTGCACCAGTAGTTTATGAGGAGTAGTCCAGACAAGCTTTTGTGTATCTGGCAACACACAGAAAAAAACACCTTTTTATCAAAGGGCCGTAACTCTGCCAAAAATCATTCCACTGGAAAACCTGTGCAATATGCGCACGGACTTGAGCTACAGATCTTGGTACTGATCATTCCTGTTAAGTTAGGATGAAATTGCACCAGTAGTTATGAGGAGTAGTCCGGACAAGTTTTGTGACGGACGTACAGACAGACGACGGAGAAGTGATCCCTATATGTTGCAACTACTCCGTAGAGGCGACACAAAAATGGGTCAAAGACAAAAATGAACGGGTTGCATTTGTATACCAAATAACATGACTCATGAGGCTGTGATGTTACAAAAATTTTCTACCATTGACCATTAAATATCATACATTTAACTAAGTAGGTAAACAGGAAGTGGATAAGCGATAGACCTGAACTTGGGACAACGTGTTAATGCAGTCACAATACCAAATATCAAGAGGCTGTGATATGTAGTTGCTAAGAAAACTGTTACGGAAATTTCCTTCCATTTACAATTAATGGCGAAAATTCAACTAGGTCAGCAAACGGAAAGTGGATGAGCGACATACCTGAAATCATATCAATGCTGTATACCAAATATCAAGAGGCTGTAATAAGTAGTTGCTGAGAAAATTGTTACGAAAAATTCGTACCATTGACCATTATTATGAATTTAACTTTAAGTCAGTAAACATGAATCCCATGGTATGGGACAATGAGTTAATGCTGTATACTAAATATCATGAGACTTTGATAAGTAGCTGCTGAAAAATCTGTTACGAAAATTGGCCCAACCAATTTGCCTGCCTGCCCAGAATCAAGTCTCAATACATGATGGTAAACAGTATTTTTTTTTTCATATATGTATTTTTTTTTCGAAAACCAGTATTATAGTTGTAACAGATATCCCATTAGTGTTTAAATATTAAAATATGTTTTGATAGTGTTTACTCAGGGGTATCATGTTGGCCCAAGCATCTGTGGATTATCATATTAGAACACCCTTTCTAAAAAAAAACAAGAAGCGCCGCAATGCGACGAAAACCAGGTTTTCAACGACTAAGTTTTGATGTGACAGCAATCAATAGGTCAAAAAGCACTGAAGTTATTGAGTAGAAGCTGAAAATTCTATTGTAAGCAAATGACCTTGAACTTGCTCCCAGATATCTTAGTGGCAATCCAAAGCTGCCACTCAGCAAGTTTGGTGTCAAAAGGTCAAAGCAAACTCAAGTTATAACATAAAAACTAAATACATGTACATTAACCTTGATCACAGACACCTGGGTAGCAATCCCAAGCTGCCTCTTGATATAAGCTACCCATTCATCAAGTTTAGTGTCATTAGGCCAAAGCAAACTCAAGTTATTGAGCAGAAACTGAATTTCTATTTTTATTAACAGGGACCTTGACCTTGATCACAGACACCTGGGTAGCAATCCCAAAATGCCTCTTGATATAAGCTATCCATACACCAAGTTAGGTGTCAATAGGCCAAAGCAAACTCAAGTTTTGAGCAGAAACTGAATTTCTATTTTTAGTAACAGAGACATTGACCTTGATCACAGGCATCTGGATAGCAATCCCAAGCTGCCTCTTGATATAAGCTATCCATACAACAAGTTTGGTGTCAATGAGCCAAAGGAAATTCAAGTTATAGAGCAGCAACTGAATTTCTATTTTTAGTAACAGTGACCTTGACCTTAATCACACACACTAACTTGTGAGTATTTTTAAAGATTTAAAGGGATATTCAGGCAAAATAATGACAAAAATATCAAAATGGTCTTATGTACTCAAATCAGGCTAAAATGACTTTTCTTGAAGTTTCAGCTTGAATTTCTGTCTAAATTCTATATATTTTGGGTTTGAAGCGTAAATATATCTATATATATTGAACAAAATTTAGACGCCAATCGAATCACCAAATAGTTTTAAAACAAGTCATGTGACTTGAACAAACCCTTGAAGTTACAATAACAGATATTGTGGATATTATATGATTGACACAAGCCTATGTCATTCATTTGACATGTTCCTTAACGTTTCAAGAGTTCACTTCGACAACTATTGTGAAATGCTAGCGCTCTAACCTGACCCACGCGGGTCAAGTTAGGAAACCACCATTTAATTCTTTATATGGAGAAAGTTTTGTTCCTTTGACTGTTAAATATATTCATTTTGATGGCATTTACAGAATAATGAATGAAAAATTCAAAACTAAGAAATGAAAATTTTGCCTGTGTCTCCCTTTAAAGGAGAAAATGTTTATCATTTAACGTATTTATTTGTTTATTGACAGGCAAAATGGAAGAATTCAGTTGTCTTTATTGCCACCTTTCTCTTCAAAAAAAAATTCGGAAACACACAATAATAACAAAAACATTAAAATCATAACCATTGGAGATTGCAAAATAGTGTTATACATTTTTAGTGTAAAACACTCATATATGACTTAAAAATTCCCCTTTTTGTCTTAAAATGACGCAAAATTCCCCTTCCTGAGGGTATATATGGGTACCTCAGTCCTGTCCCCAAAAGTTGTCCAGTGCCCTGTATGATGAAAACATATTGAATAATTTGTAACAACCAAATTAGGTTCATACATTTACAAGTACCCAACTTTTAGTTTAAATTTTACAGCCCCAGAACTCTAGTGTTTAAAGATTTTAATAATTTATATATTGCCTTTTATTGGGGATTACATACGATTGTTTGTGTGCTATTAGCATATTCACGCGACTTTACCAGCAGTGAACCACACCAGGATAAAATGGTGAAAGACGTAAATAAAAGCACCTGTGACCTAAATCGGAGATAACTCGAGACATTTTCAGATATTCTAAAAAAAATATTTTTACGCCGAGCATTGCACTTTTATAGCGAGCTCGACGAGCTGGCCCGAAGGGCCTGCTCGCAAAGCGAGCTTTACGGTAACGCGAGTACCTGCTAAGTGATGGTTTTGAAAACTTTCGTCCAAAGTACCGAATTGGACACATCGCAACCTTTCGAATTTAAAGATAACGATAAAAACTGAGGAATTCTGACTGAAAACGGATGTCTAGACTGGTCACCCGCGCACGTCTATTGGACAGGGAACCAGAATAACGGAAGCTGTGTATAAAATATCGAATGATAAAATGAAAATCGAAGGCGCCATTTTGTTTGAAATCTGATAAATAAAAACAATTTTTTGTCGAATTTTGTTGTGAAAACTATCTAGAATGAAAGAAAATGGTCTAACTAAGAAAATGAATCCGAACACCAATATCTTTTATTCAGTCGTTAACGCTGTACAGACGTTTAAAGTATTGTTTACGTGACGTCACAATGTAGCGCCAAACAGCACGTGCAAAACAAACAAATCAAGTACGCTATTTTAATGTCGCAAACGTTTTAAGTTTTACATTTATTTCACTTTAAATAATCTTTATTTCGTTTGAAAAAATATAGAGTGAAATAAAATAAACAAAGTTTTATCAACGTTTTCAAAACTCGTTATTCATTTCACGACAGGGGCGGAGCCATATTTAACACAGTACGTGTGACGTCACACGCACTCGTCACTGCATTTGAAATAAAAATGAGCGATTATTTCATACTATTTCACGTAAAAAGTACATCGAGCTCGCTTTGAGGCTTTGCCTTTTTCATATTAATTTTATAAATCATAACACGGGACACCGGGAGCTGATATTTACATAAATACTGAATGTCATGCCTTAATACTTCACAAATAGTTAACAAAATACCTGTTTCAACGAAGCACACCGATAATTGTATTCATCTCCACTTCTTTGTTATGAAATACGAGTTTATGTTACACAATTTCTCAATTTTCTTGAACGTCATGGCGGACGTTTCGTCACATGTACTTCCGGTTTAGGGGTACCACTAAAATACGCAACGGAGATTTTTGGCGCAACGGGTGCAACAGAGATTTTATTTTTTTTTAGAAAAGATATTGAAATCATATACCTCTTATAAAAACAGTACAATATACATGCATATTTCTTACAGGGTAAATAAATGGTTTTAAGCAAAAAAGAGTGTTCTATATAGTCTTTTACACAGGCAATCGGTGCGTGGCTTGGATAGTATACATGTACATGACGGTAATGTAACGATTCGCCACACTAACGATTCGTCACATAACGATTCGACACAGAGTAATAACGATTCGCCACAGTTAAATAACGATTCGCCACGTGTTCAAATACAATTTTTTTTCACATCTGTTTTCAAACTGTTGATGGAAAACTTTTTTCCATGTTATATTTCATTTGTTAATTACATAAATTAATTACACTAAATAAACATTTTATTGAATAAAAACACACGAAAACCAAATATTTTATTAACAAAATTACATAACACATTTTATAACTTCGTTATTTATATAAACTGGAAAAAATATACGTGTACGTATATTTAGTTTGTCTTGTATTCTGAATATATTTAAATGCCATTATGTTTGTAATGTTTTGTACACGGACAATCTTTAAATATGACATTTTTTAAATGGATAAGTCATGCCTTCTACTACCTTTAAGGTCTTTTCTAGTAGATGTTTTTCATTGCCTACTTAAGTTTATAGCCATACCTACAATTAGAAGAACTTCTTAAGAATACAAACAGAACGTGTAAAGCGCATTACAAAATAAATATTACTATTGCGAACTTTTGGAAGGAATTTGAATTTGACCATCTTTTGAATTTCATGAAAAAAAATCTTGAAAGATTTTTCCAGCATTCTAAAGGATTTGAAAGTTAACTAATCCCGTTTGCGTCTACAGCTTTCTTTTTCTAGACATTGAATCAATTTGAAGGTATTAAATTGTAATGGCTAAAGTTATAAAAATAGATAAAAAAAAAATGTCTACAAATTTGTGTGGGTATTTTATCTTTATTTATTTATATTATTGTTTTTATGTCATTTAATAATGTACTGGAAATAAAATTTCAAATGTCATAGATGCATATGGTCTACGAAATAAATGTGGTCTTAAAGACTACTAAACAATGGATAATTAGCCGAGAACATTTTTGGCAGCCTTTCTGTTTTATGTGACATAAATCAATTCAACTTAAAAGATGATTCTGTTTTCGTTATTTTTCGTTTGTATACTATTTTATGTATGTGTTTAAGCTAATTAAACCCTCTTAATCGGCATATATCGGCTCGCTCAAATTAATTTGTAAACAAACATCAGCTTAATTGCTGCATTGTTTTGAAATCTGAATACATTGTCAGATAATTATAAAGGATTATTTCGGCGTCAATTAAATATTTCTACAACAATCCTAAGGTGATTGGCTTGTTTTAATTAAAGGTGTGACAAATGTTTTACATATGCGTTCTTTAATCAATTATCGTAAATCAATTTTCGTATGAACACATGTTTTTGCAATACCCATTTTTTTAAAATAAATATTTGACATATATATAATATATGTAAATATATATATAAATATTAATTGACATATATGTTTACGATTAATTCAATATTTATTTCAACATATAATTACTTTCTTATAAATGTACTACATGTAATAATGTTACTTTGATAAATTGAAAATCCGCGATGGGGGCCTTAACTTCATATTACTTGTATTAAGAAACATTATTAAATTATTGTCATTGTCAAATTATTAAAACAAAAGGAAAAATTTTGTTGATTACTAAAAAATCATCGTTATAATCATACTGTGGCGAATCGTTATTTAACTGTGGCGAATCGTTATTACTCTGTGGCGAATCGTTATGTGGCGAATCGTTAGTGTGGCGAATCGTTACTAATTCTACATGACCACGTCCACTTATTTTTTATAAATATTTTTTTTTTTCATTAATAAAATATTTTTTCATTCAAAATGTTTTTAAAATATCTTATTTTCAAAAAATCAACAAAGGAAATTTGTTTTTAAAAATTTCGTCCATATATACTATAAATATAGTGAGTGCCTAGAAGACCACCACCTACAAAAAATGATTGAAAATGAAACACTTGGGACAGGAAACCCACAATCTTTACTCAATTCTATGTGGCTTGTTGAGACATAAAATTGAGATCAGATAGTCCACGGAGAGTACCTGATTTATGACACCGAGAGCCAAACCAAAACTAGAAGTGGTGCTGAACCTAGGTATATCAGGTACTACACCTTTTAACAAGAGCTGTCGGTAGGACAGCATGCTCGACTATTCTAAGTGCTTGATAGTAAAAGAGCCTTGTTCACAAAAGGGCTATTTTTTTGTTATAAATTCATGCTAAATATTAGGCCTTAGAGAGAGTCATATTATAGAGAATTCCAGACTTGACTATTCGGAAGGTAATGTCACAAGGGTGTTTTATTGAGTATAATAATACTAATTACCTATGAATACATAAAATTGACAGAAAAAGGTACAAAGGCTTGTTATTAAAATGTTTTATCAAGTAATCACTGCTTTATTATTATGAATGCATAAAATTGTCCCAAAAAGGCACAAACCCTTCAGTAATTATGGAGATAACAGCTTACAAGCAAAATTTTACCATGAATTTCTAAGTTGAAAAAAAGGGAGAAAAATCAGCCTAATGCAAAATAGAATTATGGATCTTTGTCAGTGACCTACAATTATGACCCTAAAGCATATGTGAAGTTTTAAATAAATATCTTTAATAGTTATTGAGATATGTTAAACTTGCATGTAAACATTAACCAAGAGACTAAGTAGAAAAGGGGATATGAATCAGCCTTAATGCAGGATAGAGTTATGGAACTTGGTCAGTGACATACAATTATGACCCTCAAATTATGACCCTAAGTACATGTGTAAAGTTTCAAGCAAATATCTTTGAAGACCTTTAACCTTTAACCAAAATTTCTAAGTTCCAAAGGGGCATTATTCTGTCAATATTGTAGGTAGAGTTATCCAACTTGTCAATCTGATATACCTTGTTACTATAAATAAGTATTGTAAGTTTCAATTGAATATCTCAAGCAATAATTGAGATATTTGACTTTACAACAAAATTTAACCAAAATTTCTAAGTTAAAAACGGGCATAATTCTGTCAAAATTGTAGGCAGAGTTATCCAACTTGTCAATCTGATGTACCTTGTTACTATAAATAAGTATTGTAAGTTTCAATTGAATATCTCAAGCAATAATTGAGATATTTGACTTTACAAAAAACTCTAACCAACGCAGACGCGGACGCGGACGCCGACGCCGGGGCGACTACAATAGCTCTCATATCCTTCGAATAGTCGAGCTAAAAAGATATAATCTGTAAAAATGCCGTCCCGGCTCGTGAAAATATGTTGCATTTTATCATGTTTTGTGAAAATATATTCCATATTTCACTCAAACGAAAAAATATCCTCTTATTAATTCTGATAATGATTATCTATTAAATAAAAAATAAATAGTGCATTTAAAATTCAGCCAGATCAGGGGTTGAACCTGAAACCTTCCCAAATCTGAATAGAAACTAAATTTGGGATGCTCTAACCAATTAAGCTACCTGGCTTAGAAAATCAAATAACACATGGAACAAATAAATATTCAATTTTTAAGTATGATAAAAATAACATTAAATTTTAAAATATAAAAATAAAATATTAAATTTAAAATGTCTCCCTTTTTTAGGTTATAAGTCACAACAGTTTAACAAATTTACTGCATTAAATATAAAATTGAAAATTTTGGTTTCATTTGCAGAACATATAAACCAAAGGCTTGGGCCTATACCAGGTACCCCTGAAAAGTGTCCTATCACATTATACAAATTATATCAATCAAAGAGGCCTAATGAAATGCTTGATCCAGAGGCCCCATTCTTCTTGACAGGGGAAAATGAGAGACCAAACGAGGGTCAAGCATGGTACAAGAGAGTTGCAATGGGAATTACCAAAATTTACAATATCATGAAGCAAATGAAAACTGGCGCAGGTATGGAAGCACCCAAAATCAAACCATACAGGTATGAATTCCAACAACAATCAAAATTAAAACTATTACATATCATAAACAAGAAAAATATTACATACATTCGTATGTAATATAGGTACGATTGCATACTACTTTTTGTGAAGACTTTTTATACTTGCTGCATTATAGGTGTAATGTAAAATGAACAAACATGTCATGAGATATACCGGCTTGTGAAAATATGTGGCATTTTATCATGTTTCGTGAAAATATATTCCATATAACACTCAAACGAAAAAATATCCTCTTAACATTTAGATTTTAAATAACAAATGAATAAGTAAGAGGACTACTATAATTACCTCATAGTCTAGTTTTGGAGTATTTCAAGAGGGCAATATTGATGGTGAATGTAGATGAATCATGATGGGGCCGCAGCTCTTTCTGATGTTCTGGGTTATACTTCACTACAAAATTTAATATAGCTCGAGGAAGCTGTTAAAAGATAAATAATATAGTAAGATATATTGTAACTTATATATGCAATGGTGAATGTGAATAAAGCTTTTTGTTAAGGTAAGAAATTTATAACAACTTACTGCGATCAAAATATTGAATTCAAATTCATCTGCTTTATCACACAAATATTTATATAATCAAATTTTTGTAATTGAGCCACATCATGACAAAAACAAACATAGTGCGTTTGCAACCAGCATGGATCCAGACCAGCCTGCGCATCCGCGCGGTCTGATCAGGATCCATGCTGTTCGCTATCAGTTTCTTTACTTGTAAAAGGGTTGGTATGCTGATGCGCAGTCTGGTCTGGATCCATGCTGGTCGCAAACGCAATACATTGGTTTTGTCATGGTGCGGCTCATATTTACTTGCTCAAACACTCTTTTTTAGTTAAAGAAACAAAAAATTATCAAAGTAAAAGACTGTTAGTCACAGAAGAGGCATTCCAGCATTCAGTAAATAGGAGAACAAATAAAAGCTTCACTACATGCTCGTGCAGAAGGCAGGAAATCAAATTTGTATCACTGACTTAAAAACCTTATCTTCAATTATCTTTTTTATTTTTAGAACTAAAAATATTTTCATTTATTTAATTTTACCCATGAAATATGGTGCTATATCAGTCAAATATAATTCATATTTTTTAAAAATAAATATGAAATATAAATATGAAAGTGGGCGGAGTCCAAACTCATATTTAGTTTAAGGGACTTCTTTCGCCGTTTTGTTTGAAAAATCTGATAAATACAAAACAACTTTTTCTTGAATTTTGTTTTGAAAACTAACTAGCATGATAGAAAATGGTCTAAGAAAATTTATCCGAACACCAATATCTTTAATTCAGTAATTAACGCTGTACAGACGTTTAAAGAGTTGTTTACATGACGTCACAATGTAGCGCCAAACAGCGCGTGCTTACGCATAAATTACTGCGCGCTGTACAATTGCAGTTGGTAGCAAGCATTTTCTTTGATAATGAAATTAAATAAAAAGGTTATTTTTTTGTTTTTCGTGAATATGGTATATATTTTCACTCAACATGATAAAATGCCACATATTTTCACTCGCCGTACCGGCTTGCGAAAGTACCGGCTTGCGAAAATATGTGGCATTTTATCATGTTTCGTGAAAATATATACCATATTTCACGCAAACGAAAAAATATCCTCTTATTATTCAGTTTGGAGTTTAACTTATATTTTTTTATTTTATTTGTTTTTCTCTTTTTGGTTTAAAAAAATAATAATTAATTTTTCTTGATAATATTGGACAAAGAAAATCACTTAGCAAAAATCAAAAATTTCTTTTTTAAGAAAAGGGAGCAATATGTAAATATCAAAAATGGAGAACAGTTCTGAACAAAATAGTTTTGTAAAAGATGATAATTTAAACATGGATGTTAACAAAAAATACCAATGCCATTTGTACAGATGATACGGCAACAGTATTCTCGTTATTTCTCGATAAATTCATTATTATAGCATAAAATCGACTATTTTCCCCAGGTTCTAACGGGACCAAAACCATGTGTTAACATAATCACGCGCTCTTGTTATAGCCCGGTTTCACCTATGCGCAATACATACATGGCCCAGTAAACAAACAAAAATTTGACGATTTGGCCTGTTTGCCAAAGAGTCATGCGCTCTTGTTATATTGAAATTATTGATTCGAGGGCCCCAATCGCATAACGACGTGCAGCATTCAAGTAACTATGCCGGAAATACGGCGTATAAACATCACTGCTAATCTTGGTTGTCGCCCTGTCTAAGAAACGGACAGTTGTCAATGTAAACAAATACAGTACCTGTCATTCAGTTTAACACTCCGATTAACATACAAAACTAGATTACAAAAAAATGAATATGAGAAAATGTTGTTTTATTTATGTTAATGTTGATAAATGCTCTTTATATTTCTTTGAGAGAATAATGCTTAGTGCCTGAATTTTTTTTATAAACTTGTTTGCTTGAAAAAAAATTAATTTGTTAAATCAATTAAAATTCGAAATTTTGTTCGGTTCTGAGAATTTTCCAAGTTGTTGGCCCCGGAAAAATAAAACGCATACGTAAAACATGTAGAATTGGATAAATACCGTCCAAGCACAAGAAATTAATGTAATTGTGTTTTGTATTAACTATACATCACGAATTTGTTTAAAAATTTTATGCTATGATATCATCAACGCACGTTTATTTCGTGTTATAAAGTCTGCAGAGTCCCTCAGAACTGTTGGAGCCCTCGCCCTACCGGGCTCTGGAACCAAACGTTCCTCGGGACTCTGCAGACGTTATAACACGGAAAAACATGCGTTAACCCTATAAAATTACCCTCATCATAATCAGTCAAAGATAAACAAAATATAAACTCTATGTCACATAACGTGATCACTCACATCTGAATAAAAGCCTGGGTAAACTTTTAGCTGTAGAGGAGATACATATTTTCTCAAGAATTCAAGCCAACCATCTTGCAGATCAATCTGTGTCATATGTATGTCATCGGTGGGAACATTCTCGTACCCACTGCTTAATCTTGCGTCCTAGAAATAATCAAACATGCTTGTACATGCTGTTATAAAACTATCTGTATCATAATCCTAGCATATATGTCATTGATATATATTAATATAACAGCCAACAGAAAGCCCTTTCAGGTTCCTTGTCTTCGATACAACTGAAACAGTACAAGATACTTGAAAAGTTATTTCATTGAGTGAAACTGAAACAAGTTTACAGTAGATTTTATAAAGGAATCTTTGAATGATTTAAAGTCTCTAAAACCATCTGACTTTAGCAGAATATATAGAAACCAAGAAGGTTACATAGGACATGACCTTGACCTTTACCAGCTGTAAATTTTGTGTATTGACATAATTTTGCTAAAAATAATTAGGAAATATTCCCCTAGTATATCCCAATATTTTTAAGTAATAAGCCATGTAACGGTGTTACATCAATGTGACCTCAATAACCTGACTTTAAACTGCACAAGGTAAGATAATGTAACCTTGAACTTCAATATGTTAACAGTAATAATCTTTGACCTCTTAAACATTAAAGGTAATCTTGTAATCCGGTCAATTATTGCTCGTTTCAGTATTCACATATTAATGTACAGTCAGTAATAAGAGTTTTAAGTAAACAGACATACATAACAACTATAAGGCGACAGAATGATTGACATAAAACATGCAAAAAAAATTGTAGCTGAAGGTTCAGGGTGGTCATCACAATAAATTATTTGTCTTGTTATTCTGATAATGACTGTAACACCATATCTGTTACATTTACTGACTGTAACACCACATCTGTTACAGTTACTTGCTGTAACACCACATCTGTTACAGTTACTCGCTGTAACACCACATCTGTTACACTTACTGACTGTATCACCACATGTGTAACAGTAACTGGCTCTAACACCACATCTGTTACAGTAACTGGCTGTAACACCACATCTGTTACTGTAACTGGCTGAAACACAACATCTGTCACAGTGAATGGCTGTAACACCAAATCTGTTACAGTAACTGGCTGTAACACCTCACCTGTTACAGTTACTGACTGTAACACCACATCTGTTACAGTTACTTGCTGTAACACCACATCTGTTACACTTACTGACTGTTACACCACATATGTTACAGTTACTTGCTGTAACACCACATCTGTTACAGTTACTGACTGTAACACCACATCTGTTACAGTTACTTGCTGTAACACCACATCTGTTACAGTTACTGACTGTAACACCACATCTGTTACAGTTACTTGCTGTAACACCACATCTGTTACACTTACTGACTGTAACACCACATCTGTTACAGTTACTTGCTGAAACACCACATCTGTTACAGTTTCTTGCTGTAACACCACATCTGTTACACTTACTGACTGTTACACCACATATGTTACAGTTACTTGCTGTAACACCACATCTGTTACAGTTACAGAAAAAATAGTAGAATCATGCAATTATACATGAAGGTTGAGAAAACATTGTCATCATACATGTGAACCTACATAATAAATGACAATCTTTTCATTCATTTTGAAACAAACAATATATTTACCACATGACATAGTTTATTACCATTATGAACATGTAATTTAAATGGTGTTTTTGCCATGTGTTTAAAACTTTCTGATGCTGTGACACATTTTTCCAGTCAAGATCATTGGTTCCATTACTTAAATCAGATTGTACAATTTAATGCCACATAAGCTCACACTGGAGAGCATGAGAGATTAAGTATCCCTCAAATATAGAAAAAAAACCAAAGTTGGCGCTAGTTACCTCTCCAATTTTAATTACACTGCTTTCAAAAGATTTCCCCTTTTCCTTTTTTTATGTCATGTCATAAAATTCTGATAATAAATGAACTTTTTGGTAGACTTGTTTTATATAAGTTTCTACAAGATGGCAACTCAATTTATGACATTTTTAAGACAGCAATAAAAAGGCAAGTAGAAATTCAGGCTCCTAATCTGACATGCTGGAATACATCCTAGAGACGAAGAAGATAGTTTTGTTAATGAGGGTAAGTATGGGGAGGGGATGCAAGAGCTAGCATAGTCAAGCATCAATTCTAACATGCATAAAAAACTTTCAGTATTCCTACATTACTATAGTATCCAGGATAAACTTTGGTTGCTAGGGGAGCTACATAAACACGTAAGAATTCCAGCCATTGATTCTGTAGGTTAATCTGTGTCATATGAAACATCGTCAGTAGGTACATTCTCGTAACCACCGGCTAACCTAGTATCCTAAAATAATACTCTACTTAATCAATACTTTATTTTACAAATAAAACAATTATCAACCAATTATCAACCAATTATTAACCAATTATTAACAATTATCAACCAATTATCAACCAATTTTTAACCAATTATTAACCAATTATTAACCAATTAACAACCAATTATTAACCTATTACAAATGTATCAACCAATTTTTAACCAATTATTGACCAATTATCACAAAATCAATCAATAATCTGCCAAACTTGTGGAATGATTTTGCCAGGTTTCAAAGTCAATGAAATTTAAAGGATTTTAATATTAAAATATAAAAATTAAGCTATGAACAGTATAGAGCCTGGTCAGACTGCACCACTGGCTCTAAGACTGGTCCTAACGCTCAACAATTTTGGTTACAGCAGGATAATCTTTAATTTGAAAGAGCAAAAAAAAAACTCAAGCTTTTTACAGCTATCAGTTAACTTAATATTTGTTATTTACTACAAATGTCAATTAAAACATACAGCAAAATTTGATATTTTTAAATCACTAGCTCATTAATCAAATGTCTATTAACAAAATCCAGTCATTTATTTTGCATGTATTACAGTTTATTATTAAACAGTTTTATATTTTCATAAGTTATGAGATCACCTTTACTGATTACCATAGCAAATAAATAATGGTGAAATTAATGATCTTTAAAATAAAAGATAAAACTGAATACAAATGAGCCGTGTTCACGACAAAACCAACGTAATGGGTTTGCGACCAGCATGATCCAGACCAGCCTGCCGTTTTATGCGCAATCTGATCAGGATCCATGCTTTTCGCTATCAGTTTCTCTACTTGTTAAAGGGTCTGTAAGCAAACAGTATGGATCCTGATCAGACTGTGCGGATGTGCAGGCTGGTCTGGATCCATGCTGGTCGCAAACCCATTATCTTGGTTTTGTTGTGACGCGGCTCAAAACATACCTCGCTCTTGCCACCCGACCACATGTTGACATTTTCTAACTCTGCTACTATCTCATCACAAAACACTTCTGTCATAACTGGGAACCAGAAAACATCAGGACATGGCTGTAAATATATGAACAATATTCATGTTCACACTTGTTAAAAGGACAGTTAATTTTGTTTGGTACCAAACTTGTTTAACCCTTTCGCTGCCAGAGGGTTATTGTTTTATTGATCACCTATTTGCCAGAGGGTTTTCTAAGAAATTACTATATTATTAATTAATACAATTATTATTATTATATGATATTAGTATTATAATAATTAATATATGTTTCAAATATATGCTAGTATAATAATAATTATTGTCGATGTTATAATTTTCTTTATATTTATTATTATATTTATTACTTTTATTAATTTATTATTATTATTATGATTATTATAGAAACGGCAAAAGCCGTCCATATGGCAAATACGCCAAAAATAACAGGACGGCATAAGCCATCCCTATGGCAGTGAAAGGTTAATAGTATTCCAGTCATTATTATTTATTGACATATATTCACACAACAAAATGTTTCTTCAGGCACATGCTGGTACCTGAGTAAAACAATCTTCTTTACAACTTCTTCACTTAAAAAAAACTCTTTAAGTTCTTGGAAAGATTCAAACCACTAGGGGCAAGTGGTTCATAGGGGCAAGTAGTTCACAGTCCACTACTTTAACTCCACGGTCAAAAAGGCCTGGAAAAAATGCAGATAGACTTAATACTAGAAGTTAATTATTTTTTTCTATAATTACTTGCCAACTTCTCCGTGTATATGACAGACATACTATATGTAAACCTTACCATTGTAAAATATGTTCTTACTGGACAAGGTATGTATTCAAATTCAAATTTCAAAATGATTAATGATTGCCATTACCTGTTCTATGACAGCATTTTCTGCTAAACTGTGTGAATAATTTAGGTGTATGTATCGTTTCTCCCAATCGTACGGGTTATTAAATATTTCCCATAATTCAATATGAAGTCTACCAGTCTGTGCTCCATCTGAGTTGATCAGGTAACCAAACTCTTTCCTGTTTGTAACAAACATAAAATAACCCTGAAATGTCAAAATAAACATAAAATAACCCTGAAATGTCAAAATAAACATAAAATAACCCTGAAATGTCAAAACAAACATAAAATAACCCTGAAATGTCAAAATAAATAAAATAACCCTGAAATGTCAAAATAAACATAAAATAACCCTGAAATGTCAAAAAATGTCAAAATAAAACATAAAATAACCCTGAAATGTCAAAAATAAACATAAAATAACCCTGAAATGTCAAAATAAACATAAAAAACCCTGAAATGTCAAAATAAACATAAAATAACCCTGAAATGTCAAAATAAACATAAAATAACCCTGAAATGTCAAAATAAACATAAAATAACCCTGAAATGTCAAAATAAACACAAAAAAAAACAAAATAACCCTGAAATTTCAAAAAATTAAACCATAAAATAACCCTGAAAATTGTCAAAAAAAAAGCATAAAAATAACCCCTGAAAATGTCCCAAAAAAACATAAAATAACCCGAAATGTCAAAAAAAACATAAAACTAACCCTGAAATGTCAAAATAAACATAAAATAACCCTGAATATCAAAATAAAACATAAAAAACCCTGAAATGTCCAAAATAAAACATTAAAATAAACCCGAAATGTCAAAATAAACAAAAATAACCCTGAAAATGTCAAAAAAAACATAAAATAAACCCGGAAATATCAAAAATAAACAACATAAAATTGACCCGGAAATGTCAAAATAAACAAAATAACCCCTGAAATTTCAAAATTAACATAAAAATAACCCCTGAAATGTCAAAATAAAACATAAAATAACCCCTGAAAAGTGTCAAAAATTAACATAAAATCGCCCCTGAAAATGTCAAAATAAAACATAAAATATACCCTGAAATGTCAAAAATAAACATTTAAAAAACCCTGAAAATGGTCAAAAAATTAACAATAAAATTAACCCTGAAAATGTCAAAATAACCATAAAATAACCCTAAATGTCAAAAAAAACATAAAAAACCCCTGAAATGGTTACCAAAATAAAACATAAAATAACACCCTGAAAATGTCCCAAAAATTAAACATAAAATAACCCTTGAAATGTCAAAAATAAACAATAAAATAACCCCTGAAAATGTCAAAAATTAAACATAAATAAACCTAAAAATGTCAAAATTAAAAATAAAATAACCCGAAAGTCAAAACAAACATAAAATAACCCTGAAATGTTCCCAAAATAAACATAAAAATAACCCTGAATATTCAAAAATTAACATAAAATGACCCTGAAATGTTCAAAAATAAACAAAAAACCCTGAAATGTCAAAATAAACATAAAATATACCCTGAAATGTCAAAACCAAACATAAAATACACCTGAAATGTCAAAAAAACATAAAAATAACCCTGAAATGTCAAAATAAACATAAAATAAAACCCTGAATGTCAAAACAAACATGGAAATGTCAAAATAAACATAAAATAACCCTGAAATGTTCAAAATATTAAAAGACAACGAAATGTCAAAATAAACATAAATATACCCTGAAATGTCAAAAATTAACATAAAAAACCCTGAAATGTCAAAATAAACATAACCCTGAAATGTCAAAATAAACACATCTGTTAAGTAATACAAGGTGAATTTATAACACCAGCAAGGTATTTTTAGTCACTGATTAGTAATGCTTGATAATTGCTTCCTAAAGTTACAGCAACTTTCATTTATTTTATTCAAAGTTGGACTTTAACTCACATTGGGACACTTGAGAATATTTTTTTTAACACTTTCATTTATAAGTAAATATAATGAATTCATATATATATATGTATACATGGCCCAGTTTACCTTGGCTGCTGCTTTTCACCGAAACTGTCCATATGAACCTGATAGTATTGACAGACTTGTACAATATTCCAACCTTGTTCAAGAATAAATCTATCTCATTCTGGTGTGATTTCTTAACTGAAAATAAAAATACAAAATGAGAAGAAACAGTCATGACCACTAGTTTATACAGTAGATAAATAAATTAAAAAAATAAGTTAATCAATAATTAAACAATATCCTGTAGATAACACAACCTTGTTATGCGTATATACATTTATCACACACCCGCTGCCGATTTTGTGACTCCGTAAATATGGTATTGCACGGCCTTACATATATTTTGACGTGACGTAATTAGCGTTATACAAACATAGTGTAAAGATGCGCTAAATGTTAGCGTTTATACTATAGACGCGTCAATGAAAAAATGACTCTTATTTCACTTTAAAAACGGTCTTTATTTTTGGTATGTGATAAATAGAATATTAAATTCGTGTAAGTTCATTACTGAATTTATTGCACTCGTTGAATAAAATAATATTTATGCTCGCCAGAGGCTCGCATAATATAATTTTATTCAACTCGTGCGATAAATTCAGTATTGAACTTACACTCATTCAATATCCTCTATGTACTAACTGACTGTACATAAAAATTAGTCAGAGTAATTAGACTTGTAAAAGAGACATCATTTTTTTGACTGCGGGATGTCTTTTTGCAATGTTCAACAGTTTGGCAGTAGGAGAAAAAAGTTAGCTAAATAAGTCAAAACGTTCATGCTTAATTAATTAGGCTTACATATTATATACAAATAAACCAGGGCTACCATATAAAGATATAAAAAATAACTTTAAATTTTTATATTTTAGATGGTTAATGCATCAATAACTTAAAACGCAATGATCAAGGTTGAAGTTTGCAGACAGGAATGCCACCATGACTGTAACAATACCTCTATTTTTTTTTTCTTTTGAAAAAAAGTTGAGCTAAAAATGGAATTAATAAGAAATACAGGGTTATCTAGTATAAGAGATGTTCACTCACTGATGAATGAATAAAGAAATCAATTTTCTGTTTAGGATAATCTAATGCTGCAATCTTCTGTAAGGCTTCTCTAAGAAATGGTGTTGGATGCTCCACAAACACTCCCAATACAATAGATGGATAATCCTCTTCCTTTAAATAAATAGTCACAAAATATTATATTTACAAGTTACATTTTATATATATATATATCAATTATACATATAAGTTACATTTTTCTATATATCACTCTTATAACATTTTTTTCCCTATTGATCACTCTGGTTGCATTTTATCTATATATCACTTTAATGACATTTTTTCTTTTTATCACTGGTTGCATTTTTTCTATAAATCACTTTAATTACATTTTCTTTTTGTCACTCTGGTTACATTTTTCTATATATATGTATATCACTTTAATTACATTCTTCTTTTGATCATTCTGGTTACATTTTCTATATATCACTTTAAATTTTCCCATTTTTTCTGTTTTATCAATTCTAGGTGAAAGTTTACAGTACAACAGTTTGTTGGAGCGAACCCTATAGAAGGCGCCTGTATAACTATTTTTTTAAATCAGAAATTTGAATTTGCAAAAACCCCTTTAAATGTCATTATTTATTCATTATACAGACATCTGCTAAATTTCATTTTGCTTACCTATACAACAAATAATCTTCACAAACCATTATTTATACAAAACTTATATTATTACCCCTACAGAATGAAAAAAAATTTCTTCATTTTTTTTTCCTTGAAGCTAAAAATTGGAGTTAAAAAATTCATCTTGTCACCCTTGGGTTAAGAACTACTATAATTCCGACATTTCCATCACACCTTTCCTGCCACCCTACTATTATAATAGTTATGTTAACTTATAAAACTTACCAGCAATGCCCTCAAGATTAATGGTATCTTCCTGACAGGCAATACACCCTGAACTTGATGTCCAACTGTCCGCTAAATAATTAGCAAGTCTGTTAAACTCTGGCTATATGAAGGAAAAAACATTGAATTAATAATGTTTGCCAACCTAAATTCTCATAAAATATGAAACCTTAAAAATGTTGATGATATCTTGATGTACAACTATGTCATACATTTATAACAAGAGCTGTCAGTGGATAGCAATGCTTGAAATGTCACAAGGGTGTTTCATTGAGTAAAATGCTTACCTATATGAATATTTAAAATTATCCCAAAAACATACAAAGGGTTGTTAATAGAATGTTTCATCAAGTAAATCACTGCTTGATTATTATGAATGCATAAAATTGTCACAAAAAAAAGGAAACAAACCCTTCATTAGCTATGGAAATTCCACCTGACACGCAAAAGCATAAACAAGAATTTAATTATTCTATCAAAACTCATTACTTATATGCTAATTAACTTGTCAGACTTCTCCCTACATAGAGAACCAGTAATTTAATTATTCTATCAAATCTCATTACTTATAAGCTAATTAACTTGTCAGTAGAAATACAAACCTTAATTGGTCCATTTCCATGAATAACAATGGGAACTGTGCCTGTTTTAACATTGTAGAGAAAACTGTGCTGCCCTTTATACTTTAACATGACATCATCTATAAAAATTACATCAAAAATTAATTTATAGCAAAATTTTGAACAATAATGAGAATGTGCAGTACAAGTCCGTACATCACAGCACAGCACAGTACAGCACTTCAATACACAGTAATGTAATTAAAATGACATATTATTTACATATGAATTGTACTGAATTTCAAACAAAAATCCTTGTTTTAAACATACGATTTCAAATTTAAAGCCATGAAATATAAAATAATGGCCAGGTTCTATACTGTGACACAGGCAATTTAAAAATACCATCAACATTTTATTTGTTACAAGAAAATTATCATAGCAAGTGAAAAAATTTCTATAAAAATTTTCAGTTAAAGACTAGGTTTGACAAACATAATACATGTATATATTACCAAGAGCTCCATGGAGGTTCATAAATATTTCTGATCTTTTATCCAATTTTATATTCCACTTCTCCTGAAATTGAATGTATAAATAAGTACCTTCTTAAGTTCTTATATCAATCAATGGTTTGTGGAAGAGAAAAAATATATTGATTTAGACAAATGCACATTTTCTACGTACTGACAACAATGAAAACTTAATGCAACAATACATACGTCATATGTTGATTTTCCAGCTTTACTGGTGGAGGAAAACATTAGTTGCCCCTCTGTGCATTATATCTGGCAAGAGTGGGCACCTAGCCTAAGTAGAACCACTGACGTTCTGTAAGCTAGCTGATAGCTTCCTCAAATGATAAATAAACAAGGAACATCGCAATGCGATGCAACCAGGTTTTCAGCAAAATATTTCACAGAAGCTTTGTCATGAAGGGGCATTTGTTTTTAATTGAACTTTTAGGAGGAATTATGGCTTCTTTAATATTCCTCAAACAAAAATGATTGAGAAATTTTATGTTGTCTATTCGCCTTTTTTTCCCAAATGTTTTAGAAAGGTAAACAGTACTTTATTTTTGCTTAATTTTTGCATTTTTGCGTCTCTTTCATTTTCTTTTGTCAACAATATTGGCGTGTGGTGTTTTGTGCGATATCAAGAAAAGTATGTTCACAATTTTAAAAAAATACTTGAATGATGTCTTGGAAGAAACATGGGAATTTAGTGAGCGCCAGGGCACTTGATGACAAAAGCTTCTGTGAAAGTTTGGTCAAAATCCATTGAGAAATGTAGGAGAAGTTGCGCACTGTAGAAATTGTTCACTATATATTCTGTATAAAGGAAAAAAATATACAAAGGGCCATAATTCGGTCAAATATTATCCAATCACAAACCCCGACAATATGTGCCAGGCACTTGAAAACAAAGCTTCTAAGAAAGTTTGGTCAAAATCCGTTGAGAAATGTAGGAGGAGTTGAGCACAGAAGAAATTGTTCTCTATATATTCTGTATAAGGAAAAAATATACAAAACCCGGGCCATAATTCGGTCAAATATTATCCAATCACAAAACCCCGACAATATGTGCCAGGCCACTTCGGGAAAATAAAAAATTCCTGGAGTGATCCAAAATCACAGCAGTGACATGCAAGTTCTTAGAGGTGAACGACCTTAATAACTTGGCCATGGACTATTTTGTCACTATGCACACAAACACAAAGAAGATAATTGGTGTTTATTTTCCACTGAATATTACTATTCTTTTTATTTGTAAACTCTCTCCAATAGAATTGATAAACACAGGTAACTTGCAAAGAACTGACTTACAGTTACCAATATATGACAAGATACCAAAATATCTCTGTCTTGGCTTTTAAAATAGCCTTAAATTAGCCTGGACTATTTACAAAAATACCATTTTGACTGACACTGAAATTAAAAGATGTCAAATTGTAAGATTATTAATCGAATAAATTACACTGACATTCTATATTTATGTTAGGTTCTCTTTTGTTTACTTACATGCATGTGTAAAATATACTATTTGTATGCTTTAATTATAACGTTAATATGATTAAATTTAAGGTATATTATGATATTTCGTTTGTAAATATTACAATGTGATTTACATGTATAATTAATGTAAGGTATGTGGGGGATGACCCCAACCCTCTCATACCTATTACGGGGTGAATAAACGGGGTTACCCAGTTGGGGCCTCAAAAAAAAAAAAAAATCTCTGTCTTTCATGTATTTTTTGTTTTGGGTTTTATGTCACATTGACAAAGTATAGGTCCTATCGGGACGTTCCAGCTTTACTGGTGGAGGAAGACCTCAGGCGCCCCTCCGTGCATTATTCCAGGCATGAATGGGCACCTGACTTTCATGTAATACCTCTCCCCTACAGAATCTACAAAACAATGGAAGCTTTAATCAAAACATAGATTTTACTGTTGTTATCATTATACAGTGGTAATGTTTTGTACATAGATATGAATCATACCTGGAGAGATTTGTCTAGAAATATTTTAGTGTAATATAACTGGTCATCATCGTTATCTGCTACTGCATTGTGGGAAATAATTTCATACACGTCCTTAGCATACCCAATAAATCCTGAAAAAAACAAAAACATTTTTATTATTATACTTATGCTGTAAACAATGTGCACATAATTTAAGATATATAACTGAACTACAGTCGAACTTTGTTCACTCAGAGGGCCTGTGCAAATTCAAGGTCATTTATAAGTGAAGGTCAAGGTCGGTCTGGTTATTTTTAAGGGTTATCCTTGAAGATTATTATGTTCAAGTTTCAAGATAATCCATTAAAAAACAACAAAGTTACAGCCAATAATAGCAAGAACAAGCAAAATTTGGACTTTTAACCTTGAAGGTCAAGGTCATTTATGGATGAAGGTCAAGGTTAGTGGGGTCTACTGAACGGTCTTGTCTCAAGGGTTCTTGTGGCCAAGTATGAAGACATTTATACACCAAGAACTAAAAAGGGTATGATCCAGGTATAATGGCAACAGCAACGGCAACGGCGCCAGGACTATAACAATACCTCTACGTTTTTTTTTTTTTTAAAAAGTCGAGCTAAAAATAAACAAAGGGCAATAACTACAAAATTTGGCAAGGCGGAGTTTAAGTTCTTGTGCACTGCACATCTACTCATTGACATCTATCTACCTACAAAGTTTCATGTTGATATCTCTTGTAGTTTTAAAGTTATTTCCCGGACAAGATTTTTTTAAAAGGTGAGATAATTCACAAATTAGGCAAAACAGAGTTGTTTTCTTTTGTACTGCACTTTTACTCAATGAGATCTATCTACCAACAAAGTTTCATGTTGATATCTCTTATAATTTTAGAGTAATGTCCCAGACAAAGTTCAAAAAGTAAAAATAAACAAAGAGCAATAACTCCAGAATTAGGCAAGGCAGAGTTATGATTCTTCTGCACTGCACATCTACCCATTGAGATATATCTACCTACAAAGTTTCATGTTGATATCTCTTATAGTTTTCAGCTATGTCCTGGACAAGGTTTCTCTAAAAGGGGAGATAATTCGAAAATGAGGCTTAACAAACTTATCGTTCTTTTGAACTGCACATCTACCCATTCAGATCTATTTACCTACAAAGTTTCATGTTGATATCTCTTATAGTTTTAGAGTTATGTCCCGGACAAGATGTTTCTAAAAGGGGAGATAATTCAAAAACTGAACAGAATAGAGTTATGATTCTTGTGCACTGCACATGTTCCCATTGAGATATATTTACCTACAAAGTTTCATGTTGATATCTCTCATAGTTTTAGAGTTATGTCCCGGACAAGATTTTTCTAAAAGGGGAGATAATTCAAAAACTGGTAAAAAATAGAGTTATGGTTCTTTGACGCTGCACTCCACTTCAATGCCCTCTACCACTGTATGAAGTTTAAACAAATTATCTCCAAGGGTTTTCAAGTTATGCTCCGGACAAGACAATGAACGGACAGACGGACAAGGTGGCGACTATATGCTCTCCCTTTGGGGAGCATAATAAATTGATATGTTATGTGAGCCTACATGTATATTGTAAATGGTATTACCTACCTGATTTGTTAATTATGCTAAATACTATAATTATATTTATACATAAACACAATATACAGGAGTGCATAAATTTATATAAAAAATGAAAAGAAATTAAATCAAATAAATTAAAAAGAATTAACTAGAACTCCGCGAGTCGGATGTGTCGCCTTGTGAACAATGTAGTTTAGGGGAAATGGCCAGGACAAAAATGAAATATGAAAGGGCAATAACTAAAAAAATAATAAGTGCAGAGCAGCAGTTTCTATACACTGCACTTCTTATCAATAAGATCTATCATTCTATGATGTTTCAAGTCCATAGCTTTCATACTTGAGGAGAAATGACCAGGACAAAAAAAAGTAAGAAAATCAACAAAGGGCAATAACTCAAAAATAAGAAATGCAGAGTATCAGTTCTTATGCACTGCACTTCTTTTTAATGAGATCTATCATCCTATGAAGTTTCAAGTTCTTTTATACTTTCGGAGAAATGGCCTAGACAAAAATTAAGTATGAAAATTAACAAAGGGCCATAACTCAAAAATTAAGAAATACAGAGTACTGATTCTTGTGCACTGCACTTCTTAATAATGAGATCTATCATCCTATGAAGTTTCAAGTCCATAGCTTTTATACTTAAGGAGAAATGGCCCGGACAAAATTAAAGTATGAAAATAAACAAAGGGCAATAACTCAAAAAATAAGAAATGCAGTGTACCAGTTCTTGTGCACTGTACTTCTTCTTAATGAGACCTATCATCCTATGAAGTTTCAAGTCCATGGCTTTTATACATTAGGAGAAATGACCCGGACAAAAATAAAGTATGAAAATTAACAGAGGGCAATAACTCAAAAATTAGGAAGTGCAGAGTACTGGTTCTTGTGCACTGCATTTCTTCTTAATGAGATCTATCATCCTATGAAGTTTCAAGTCCATAGCTTTTTTAGTTGAAGAGAAATGGCCCGGAAAAAATTAAAGTATGAAAGTTAACAAAGGGCAATAACTCAAAAAATAAGAACTGCAGGGTACCGGTCCTTGTGTACTGCACTTTGGGTTATTGAAAGAAGCATGCATACCAAGTTTGAAGTCAATCAGACTTATAGTGACTGAGTTATGCTCCGGACAAGCTTTAGGGGACGCCGACGACGACGCTGACACAGATGACGCCGCTGCCGCCGTCAAATGTAACCCCTTTATGTCACCTTTTCAAGGCGACACAATTCAAGGCGACACAAAAATGATAAGATAAAGAACAAACCTCCTGAACAAAGATATTTCTTCTCATGTAATTTCACATCAGGATACGAGCTCTATAAACAAAAAAAGAAATCATTTTAATGCTTATACAAAACTAACAGGTAATATCTCATATGATATCAATGTTTTGCTGTCATTAATTTATAAAAACAACAGCTGCTAAAATTCAAAATTCAAAGATAAACTAGAACTATCACTAAATGTGATTAATACACAATTTACAAGACTGCTTAGGAAATGAGGATGTTACTAGTAACAGAATACCTTGTAAAGAATTGAAACAGAGTTATAGTTGTGGGCAATTAAAGATAGTTGTGGTTCTTGTATGTTGCATTTCCTTTCAATGTGGTTGGCCATTGTTTTATTGGATTACTCTGTAAGAAGTCCAGAAAGACAAGTAAAAGGAACAAAGGGCAATAACTCTATAAATACTGAAGATTGAGTTATGGCTATTGTACACTGCACTTCATCTCACTGCCCTTGACCATTGTATAAAGTTTCATTGAATTCCAACCATTAATTTTCAAGTTATGCACTGGACAATAAAAAGGAACAAAGGGCAAAAACTTTTAAATTAGTCAAAAAAGAGTTATGCTTTCTGTGCACTGCACTCCCTCTCAATATACTTGACCATAGTATGAAATAGTTTCCAATTTGCTCCGGACAAAAAAAGCAATCGAAAAGTGACAAAGGGCAATAACTCTGTAATAAGTCAAAATGGAGTTATGGTTCTTGTGCATGGCACTTCCCCTTATTGTGCTTGGCCATTGTATGAAGTTGTTTTGAATTCCAACCAGTAGTTTTCAAGTTATGCTCCAGACAAGGAAAAGTAACAAAGGGCAGTAACTCTGTAATTAGTCAAAATGGAGTATGGTTCTCATGCACTGCACTTCCTCTCAATGTGCTTGACCATTGTATGAAATTATATTGAATTCCAACAATTATTCTTCAAGTTTGAGTCCGGACAAAAGAAAGCAATGGAAAAATAACAAAGGGCAATAACTCTGTAATTATTTTAGATAGAGTTATGGTTCTTGTGCACTGCACTTCCCCTTATTGTACTTGACAATTGTATGAAGTTGTTTCGAGTTTCAACCAGTAGTTTTCAAGTTATGCTCCGGACAAGGAAAAGTAACAAAGGGCAGTAACTCTGTAATTAGTCAAAATGGAGTTATGGTTCTTGTACACTGCACTTCCTCTCAATGTGCTTAACCATTGTATGAAGTTATATTGAATTCCAACTATTAGTCTTCAAGTAATAGTCCGGACAAAAGAAGCAATCGAAAAATAACAAAGGGCAATAACTCTGTTATTACTTTAGATAGAATTATGGTTCTTGTGCACTGCACTTCCCCTTATTGTGCTTGACAATTGTATGAAGTTGTTTCGAGTTTCAACCAGTAGTTTTCAAGCTATGCTCCGGACAAGGAAAAGTAACAAAGGGCAGTAACTCTGTAATTAGTCAAAATGGAGTTATGGTTCTTGTACACTGCACTTCCTCTCAATGTGCTTGACCATTGTATGAAGTTATATTGAATTCCAGCAATTATTCTTCAAGTTTGAGTCCGGACAAAAGAAAGCAATGGAAAAATAACAAAGGGCAATAACTCTGTAATTATTTTAGATAGAGTTATGGTTCTTGTGCACTGCACTTCCCCTTATTGTACTTGACAATTGTATGAAGTTGTTTCGAGTTTCAACCAGTAGTTTTCAAGTTATGCTCCGGACAAGGAAAAGTAACAAAGGGCAGTAACTCTGTAATTAGTCAGAATGGAGTTATGGTTCTTGTACACTGCACTTCCTCTCAATGTGCTTAACCATTGTATGAAGTTATATTGAATTCCAACTATTAGTCTTCAAGTTATAGTCCGGACAAAAGAAAGCAATGGAAAAATAACAAAGGGCAATAACTCTGTTATTACTTTAGATAGAGTTATGGTTCTTGTGCACTGCACTTCCCCTTATTGTGCTTGACAATTGTATGAAGTTGTTTCGAGTTTCAACCAGTAGTTTTCAAGTTATGCTCCGGACAAGGAAAAGTAACAAAGGGCAATAACTCTGTAATTAGTCAAGATGGAGTTATGGTTCTTGTGCACTGCACTTCCTCTCAATGTGCTTGACCATTGTATGAAGTTATATTGAATTCCAACCATTAGTCTTCAAGTTATGCTCAGGACAAGGAAAATACAACGGACCGCTGGACCGACCGACCAACCGACCGACCACCGGGTGACTCCTATATACCCCCCCAAACTTCGTTTTTGGGGGTATAATAATGCATGAATAAAGTTCAAATGTACAGTAATATAATATCAAAGGCTTTAATAAATGCATTTACACCATAAATTGTGCATTATAATACTATGATGCAAAAACATGAAGATAGCCAATTCAGATGTTGTATTGAGGGGTGATTAACTAGTTTGTTCCCTATATTGTAGCATGGTGCATAGAAGGAAACTGGAATTTTTTCTTATATCGATCATTGGGTTAATTAACATCGTATATGACATCATATGCAGACTTCCCGAAAGTTGAAGAAAACTGTCAGACATTCGGTCTGAAAAACCATGAAAATCTGTCAGACCGAAACGAAATCTGTCGGACCAAATAAAATTGATCAAAGAATAAGTTGTGTTTGTATTTCTAAGACACTTTTTGTTTTCAATTTTTTCGCTGTAAAAATCGGCACATTCCTTACAGCACATTTTCATCTCCTCCCTATCATACACCAATGATTCACTGTCTTGCTTCTATTTTTCATTAAATTTTGTCTCAGGTCTATTCTTTTTATCCTTTTACTGCTGTTCTGCCTGTTCCTCTGATGTAGATTTTTTTATTTTTCCAAGGTATGGCACCTTTAGCGATGCCATTTTGAATACATGCGGCTGGGATAAAAGCCGGACCGATCCGGAATAAAAACTCGTCGCACCTGATCAAAATTTATTGTACTGTACTGTCATATACTTGTATGTTTAATAGGAGAATAATTTGAAGAATTGTTAGAGCTATACTGAAACCCCTTTAAAGGGAATTGGCTGTCATATACATGTATGTTTTATAGGAGAATTATTTGAAGCATTGTTAAAGCTATATTGAAATCCCTTTAAAAGGAATTGGCTGTCATATACATGTATGTTTTATAGGAGAATTATTTGAAGCATTGTTAAAGCTATATTAAAATCCCTTTAAAGGGAATTGGTTGTCATATACATGAATGTTTTATAGGAGAATAATTTGAAGAATTGTTAGAGCTATATTGAAATCCCTTTAAAGGGAATTGGCTGTCATATACATGTATGTTTTATAGGAGAATTATTTGAAGCATTGTTAAAGCTATATTGAAATCCCTTTAAAGGGAATTGGCTGTCATATACATGTATGTTTTATAAGAGAATATTTTGAAGCATTGTCAGAGATACACTGAAACCCCTTTAAAGGGAATAGGGAACTATCTGAGATAAGCATCGTATACGTCACTGATAAGAGACCTGTTCTAAAAATAGCCACATATCGATAACTTTCGGACAAGGAAACTGGTTAATCTACATGTAGATTATACAACATGTAATGGTTACGAATACAACATGTAATGGTTACGAATACTTTTATTCACATTTCTCTCAATGGAAATGATGTTCCTGGAGTTAAACTTGTGTAAAGCATGATTGAGATGGTTTAAAACCATCAGGAAAATAAAGAAGAAATAACTTTCGGGGCAATACTTTCCTGCATGTCAATTTAAGAAAAATGCCGGCGCTTGGCAATTTGTTTTTGTTTCACTGTTTATCAAAATTAGAAATGGTGATATGATATGGTATGATTTTAAGAAATTGGGACTAAAATTGAAAGAGTATCTTTCTGTCCCAGATATACCGTACAAAATTTTGTTTATATGTAAAAAAACGCCGATTGGAGAAGTAATGAATCTATCCACCAAAGTGCTACGAGTATTAGATTAATGATTAATATCTTAATTCTTTAATAATTTTAGAATAAGCAAAACTCTGCATTTTTCCTATTTTACCTAATAAGAAATGCCGATTCTAGTATTTATTTAATCAGAAATAATGTAAACGTACATGCATGCTTGCATGTATATTTAAACTGAATTGACAATTGAGATCCATGATTTAACATACTCAGTACACTGTTTACGTATAGACAATAAAATACATTTGCTTTTTATTTTATGTCTCACACAAAATATTTGTTGTTAAAATCATCGCCAATTACTGGTGCATTTTATTGACAAGGTGTAAAGACCAGAGCAGCCTGTGACGTGTGTTTAAATTAAACATTAAAAAAAAGTACAGTGTGTAGTTGTCCCTTTTCTTTTCACACTAAATTCCATTTCCAACTTGTTTGCATTCTACAATTTCTTAAAATATTGCATGTAAACAAAGTAAATATACGCTGATTAACATCATGTATATTGTGTTCTCCCTAATCCCTTGTCTAAAGTCAGTACAGGTGATGTAGTGGTGATAAGGTAAAATCTATTTTTAGAACAGTGTTACCTTCAGATCGAAGGCTATTGGTTGTCATATACATGTATGTTTTATAGGAGAATAATTTGAAGCATTGTTAAAGCTATACTGAAATCCCTTTAAAGGGAATTGGCTGTCATATACATGTATGTTTTATAGGAGAATAATTTGAAGCATTGTTAGAGCTATACTGAAATCCCTTTAAAGGGAATTGGCTGTCATATACATGTATGTTTTATAGGAGAATAATTTGAAGCATTGTTAAAGCTATACTGAAATCCCTTTAAAGGGAATTGGCTGTTATATACATGCATGTTTTATAGGAGAATAATTTGAAGCATTGTTAAAGCTAAACTGAAATCCCTTTAAAGGGAATTGGCTGTCATATACATGTATGTTTTATAGGAGAATAATTTGAAGCATTGTTAAAGCTATACTGAAATCCCTTTAAAGGGAATTGGTTGTCATATACATGTATGTTTTATATGAGAATAATTTGAAGCATTGTTAAAGCTATACTGAAATCCCTTTAAAGGGAATTGGTCCATAATTGATAATATGTAATACCATGAATTACATTGTTGTGTTGTTGGTATCTGATACCATACATGACAACAAACCACAAAATAAATATATTAGGATGTTATAGGTACTGGTGTGAGATATATGACTGGATATTACATATTCATATATATAGCAGATGATTAATTGTTCTATAACATAATATTAATATTCATCATATAAATATTCATACCAACAAAACATTTCTTTGTTCAAGAAGAATTTTTCATCCTGATAAACAAAGTATACATTAATAAATTATCTTAACCAACCAAATTATTGTTACTCTTAGTTCTTTTCTGCCTTTCTATAAATAGTTCAAAAAATATATCTTAACCAATCAAGTGGTGAATTATTGCTATTCTTATTTCTTTTCTGCACTTCTATCAATAGATCAAGAAATATTTTGTAAGAATATCCAAATGATATGTTTCTATAGTTTTATATTTCAAATATGTAGGGAAAAACTGCCTTTTATAGACCAATCCACTTAAATACATGTCTTGAACTAACAGCTGGGTAAATACATTATCAATATTCACCAGGTTAATCTAAAACATGTGTAACTGTATCAGCATGTGACCAGGAAGAGATGGTCAGTGTAAATATTAACACATGCTGGTGTAACTGTATCAACATGCAGCCAGGAAGAGATGGTCAGTGTAAATATTAACACATGTTGGTGTAACTGTATCAACATGTGACCAGGAAGAGATGGTCAGTGTAAATATTAACACATGTTGGTGTAACTGTATCAACATGTGACCAGGAAGAGATGGTCAGTGTAAATATTAACACATGTTGGTGTAACTGTATCAGCATGTGACCAGGAAGAGATGGTCAGTGTAAATATTAACACATGTTGGTGTAACTGTATCAGCATGTGACCAGGAAGAGATGGTCAGTGTAAATATTAACACATGTTGGTGTAACTGTATCAACATGTGACCAGGAAGAGATGGTCAGTGTAAATATTAACACATGTTGGTGTAACTGTATCAACATGTGACCAGGAAGAGATGGTCAGTGTAAATATTAACACATGTTGGTGTAACTGTATCAGCATGTGACCAGGAAGAGATGGTCAGTGTAAATATTAACACATGTTGGTGTAACTGTATCAACATGTGGCCAGGAAGAGATGGTCAGTGTAAATATTAACACATGTTGGTGTAACTGTATCAGCATGCAGCCAGGAAGAGATGGTCAGTGTAAATATTAACACATGTTGGTGTAACTGTATCAGCATGTGACCAGGAAGAGATGGTCAGTGTAAATATTAACACATGTTGGTGTAACTGTATCAACATGTGACCAGGAAGAGATGGTCAGTGTAAATATTAACACATGTTGGTGTAACTGTATCAACATGTGACCAGGAAGAGATGGTCAGTGTAAATATTAACACATGTTGGTGTAACTGTATCAGCATGTGACCAGGAAGAGATGGTCAGTGTAAATATTAACACATGTTGGTGTAACTGTATCAGCATGTGGCCAGGAAGAGATGGTCAGTGTAAATATTAACACATGTTGGTGTAACTGTATCAGCATGTGACCAGGAAGAGATGGTCAGTGTAAATATTAACACATGTTGGTGTAACTGTATCAGCATGTGGCCAGGAAGAGATGGTCAGTGTAAATATTAACACATGTTGGTGTAACTGTATCAGCATGTGACCAGGAAGAGATGGTCAGTGTAAATATTAACACATGTTGATGTAACTGTATCAGCATGTGACCAGGAAGAGATGGTCAGTGTAAATATTAACACATGTTGGTGTAACTGTATCAGCATGTGACCAGGAAGAGATGGTCAGTGTAAATATTAACACATGTTGGTGTAACTGTATCAGCATGCAGTCAGGAAGAGATGGTCAGTGTAAATATTAACACATGTGGTGTAACTGTATAAGCATGTGACCAGGAAGAGATGGTCAGTGTAAATATTAACATATGTTGGTGTCTTAATGTGACAAGATCTTAATCATATAATTATCATATACAATAATTTATTCTCCTCTATAAATAAACTTATATCTGATTGTGACACTGTCATATGTTCTTTATTTACACTTAAACAACATTTGCTGGGTGGCACTTAATACAACAGTAGAAATATGTCATAAGATGAATTATTTGACAACAATAAAAATATTCTGAAATAAATTAAATATCTGGTCAATAAGAAAACATGAAAATACAGATATATTCTTCCAAAACCCTTTATGGTTCATAGTATTATATCATTTTGTAATAGCAAAAGTTGTCTTTTTATTGCAAAAAAAATCTCATTCATAATCTCCCTTAGTTTGTCAAGTATTAAGTTACAAAAGAAGAAGAACTAAATTCAGATCAAATCTTTTTTTTCTTTTTTGAAATTTTGTTCTCTGACATAAATTATAAACATGAAATAGGATGTTTCACAAAAGTAATTCTAGTGCCGATTTGACTAATTTTTGGGCAAAATTGACTGATTTAGGACCGATTTGACTTCTTGAAAATGTATTGAAGCTGATTTGACTCCGATTTGACATATTTGTATGCCAACAGACAGACAGATGCCAGGGGGTATAACATAATATGCCCAAAATTCTTCCGGGCATATAAAAATGGAATCAACAATGAGCTAGCATCAATGGTCTACACTGGTCACAATGGTTAGATTGCGTCACCAGGTTAAAGATATAAAACAGTAATTATTACCGCTAATGACCTGTCCGGCCAACAAAATCCTTCAGCAGAGAAAACTACACGTGCATCAAACTTGTTGAACTTTTCTAGAATCTCTGATGCTCCAGCTGTGACAACAACATCATAACTAAACAAACAAAATGATCAAATATATTATATATGTAATTACCTTAAAGGCCAATTATGCATCAGAAATGTTTTTTGTTTATAATATTCAAAAGCATTTAATATATTTTTTTGGTATCCTATTATAGTTTTTCCAAAAAATATTTGTACTTAGTTACAAGCCAATTACCATAACCATCTATTTCTTCTGTTATTTTTTAGCAATTATATCAATTTCCTCACAATTGAATATTGGGAGTTGTACTGTAAAAGAGGTAAAATTTGTAACATTGAAATGTTCGTGAAAATCAAGTCAGTGAAAATGTTATCATTCCAGGTTTCTATGTGTTTCAGGTAAACAAAGTAATTCCTGGGAAGCATTAATCACAACAAAATTACAGGAAAATTGCAGACTCGGTTTGATTGAGTCTGTACATGAGAGATAATGAATAAGTGCAACATCCCTCACGCTCCCTAGCACTGGCTTGATCGGTACTCAATTCCCAACATTTAATAGTGCTAACTGGCATCAAAGTTCCTATTCGCTCTGGGTACCCGTGTTCCAAGCAACCAAGTTCTTATTTGTTTTTGATAACCAAGTTCCTATTCACTCTGGGTACCCAAGTTCCTATGTGTTCCAAGTAACCAAGTTCCTATGTGTTCCAGGTAACCAAGCTTCTATTTGTTTTAGGTAACCAAGTTCCTATGTGTTCCAGGTAACCAAGCTTCTATTTGTTTTAGGTAACCAAGTTCCTATGTGTTTCAGGTAACCAAGCTTCTATTTGTTTTAGGTAACCAAGTGTCTGTGTTCAAGGTAACCAAGTTCTAATGTGTTCCAGGTACCCAAGTTCCTATGTGTTTCAGGTAACCAAGTTCCTATGTATTCCAGGTAACCAAGCTTCTATTTGTTTTAGGTAACCAAGTTCCTATGTCATCAAGGTAACCAAGTTATTATGTGTTCCAGGTACGCAAGTTCCTATGTGTTTCAGGTAACCAAGTTCCTATGTGTTCCAGGTAACCAAGCTTCTATTTGTTTTAGGTAACCAAGTTCATATGTGTTTAAGGTAACCAAGTTCGTATGTATTCCAGGTACCCAAGTTCCAAGTGTTCCAGGTAACCAAGTTCCTATGTCAGTATGTGTTCCAGGTAACCAAGTTCCTATGTGTTCCAGGTAACCAAGTTCCTATGTGTTCCAGGTAACCAAGCTTCTTTTTGTTTTAGGTTACCAAGTTTTTATATGTTTCAGGTAACAAAGTTCCTATGTGTCTGGGGTGTGTTTCGGGTAACCATATTTTAAAAAACTTTTAACAATTTTCAACCTGACAATCATTCCTTAATAACAAAGAAACAATGATGCCAATCAATTACCGGCTATTACCAGATGATTATTATTAAAGTATCAACAAACAGATAACTTCAGTAATTGTGAATCCACAACCTTTCTGACACATAAAGATATCCACTTTATCCAGAATTACTGGAACTGTCAAGGAAACTTGAACTTTAACTTATAAATCAGTAAATAATGTCAACAACTTCATGATCAGATTGTTTTAGAATATTACAAGTAGAACAAGAAAATTATTCATGTAAATACAACATATTTTAAACATACAAACTGTCTGTACAATTTTATCAGTTTAACTTTTCAACATATGAATTATATTAAAGATATATACATATTTCCCTGTCTGTACAATTTTATCAATTTAACTTTTCAACATATGACTGAATTATATTAAAGATATATACATATATACCTGTCTGTCAACATATGACTGAATTAAATTAAAGATATATACATATATACCTGTCTGTAAACATATGACTGAATTATATTAAAGATATATACATATTTACCTGTCTGTTCAACATATGAATTATATTAAAGATATATACATATTTACCTGTCTGTAAACATATGACTGAATTATATTAAAGATATATACATATATACCTGTCTGTAAACATATGACTGAATTATATTAAAGATATATACATATTTACCTGTCTGTAAACATATGACTGAATTATATTAAAGATATATACATATTTACCTGTCTGTAAACATATGACTGAATTATATTAAAGATATATACATATTTACCTGTCTGTAAACATATGACTGAATTATATTAAAGATATATACATATATACCTGTCTGTAAACATATGACTGAATTATATTAAAGATATATACATATTTACCTGTCTGTCAACATATGACTGAATTATATTAAAGATATATACATATTTACCTGTCTGTAAACATATGACTGAATTATATTAAAGATATATACATATATACCTGTCTGTAAACATATGACTGAATTATATTAAAGATATATATACATACTCGTATTTACCTGTCTGTAAACATATGACTGAATTATATTAAAGATATATACATATATACCTGTCTGTAAACATATGACTGAATTATATTAAAGATATATACATATATACCTGTCTGTAAACATAAGACTGAATTATATTAAAGATATATACATATTTACCTGTCTGTAAACATATGACTGAATTATATTAAAGATATATACATATATACCTGTCTGTAAACATATGACTGAATTATATTAAAGATATATACATATATACCTGTCTGTAAACATATGACTGAATTATATTAAAGATATATACATACAGTGGAGCCTTGCTAATCCGAACCCTTCTAATCCGGAATCCTTTCTTATCCGAACGAAGTGTCCGGTCCCGATTTTTTTCGTTCTATTTTCAATGGGAAAAAACCTCTCGGATCCGGAACCTGTCTACTCCGAATTCCGGACGATTTTTTCAATTTTTGTTCTTGTTTTACTCTAAAATTTACCTCTCGGATCCGAACAGATTTGCCAAATGTCACACCTTCATTCAAAATAACAAATAATCGCACATCTTGCAGGTGTAAACATACACCAAACTGTTATTTTGCTTGATTAATGGGTGAAACGTATTATCTGCGAAGGTGTGAAAATTACACTTAGCTTGCCCTGATATCTTCAATAATTACTTAATTGATTGTTTTTTGTCACCTTCAATAAATATTTTGATATAATGCAATAGAAATATCTTTTAATCCTTTGTAATGGATTTAATGACACGTGATTAAGTAATGAAAATTAATGGAAACTGTCAGTGAATTCGGATAATCGCTGAATCGGATAAGAGTAAACAACAATTGACAAATGATGGTACGAATATTTTATCATGTCTCAGCCTCCTGTTTAACATCGTAGGTTAACTTACCCTTGAGGAAATAATATTTTGCTTATTTATTTATTTTTGTTTCTTTATTTTTTAATTTACATGTACAATAAGAGATTGCAAAAAAAAATAATTTAAATTGCAATTTCAAATGCATTCCCGTTTTCTTTCCTTAAACTATTTTGCAAATAACATGAAAAAACATGTAAATTAAACTTTCTAATCCGGAACCCTTTCTAATCCGGAAACCTTTCTAATCCGAACTTTTCTTCTGGTCCGGACGAATTCGGATTAGACAGGTTCCACTGTATTTACCTGTCTGTAAACATATGACTGAATTATATTAAAGATATATACATATATACCTGTCTGTAAACATATGACTGAATTATATTAAAGATATATACATATTTACCTGTCTGTAAACATAAGAATCAAGTCACTTCTGTCTTTATACTGGTAAAGTTCTTCTTTCAATATATTGATCTTATGACCCCCGCCAGTATTGGTCATGTCCCCGCCACGCCAATCCAAACCTAAACCAAAGACCTGCAGAGAAATAATAGCTCACAATTATTTCTTATCTCATATACAACAGAGCAAATTCCTGAAATATCAAATTCCTATGATAAATCTATTATTAATTTCTGACCTCTTTACATAAACTTAAGAATGACAATACCAGACATATACAACTTATAATATAAACTATAGACTGGTACACTTTATTATTTGGAAAAATATTCTCAATTTTATATAATCGTAAAGGTACAACTTAAAATTTATGTGTGATTTTATGGAAAAAGATATGTAAAAGGGGGCTTCTCTAAGCTCTTTCATAGCTTTTATGATCAGTGCCAGAATAGGAAAATATAAAATATTGGTTATTCTTTTGCAAATTAAATTTATTGCATATTGAATTAATAAGTATAAGTTCATCACTGTATCGTTATTTTAGTTAAATTATACAAATTAAATTTAGTTTGATTGTGCTGGAAGCTATAAGCTTATTGAAACACTCTCAAATCCATTTCCTGGAATCACCCAGTACTAGCAATAAGTGTTAAGCCTCTTGCTCAAGAAAAGCAACAGCTTGTCCTAGATTGGGTTTGACCCCCACAAGTTTATTTTATACTGGACATGTACAAAATCTTCACTGTATATACTATAGCTAACGTAACAGTACATAATACTTAAAATTCACAGCATACCAGCAATAGTTAGTTATTAATAAAATAGAAAGTCTTTGGTACAATGTTGTTTTGTCAAATTGAATGTAAGGGGAAAAAACCCACTTCAAATGTAACTGAGTCATATACAAAATCTACATGTTTGTTAAGTTTTCATGAATGACATATGTGTGTTACTGGAGTGGATATATTATATAAATAACATTCTGAAACCAAAATTTCTAGGTGGATATATTATAAATAGCATTCTGAAACAATCAAACTATTCTTACTTTACTTGATTTACATTTTACCTTATATAATAAATATAGAATGTTATAATGAATTTACCTTTGTTTCCAAGTCATACTTCTTTGTACTTCTTATATATCTTCTTAACCCATCATTTTCTTCTGTTGCTATGGTCACAAGTAGCAGTTCTTGAAAAAAAAAGCAACCTCATACACTTTAATTACAATCAACAAAAGTTTTCGGAGACGGCACGCTTGACTAATCACATACCGGAAGGAAGACAAAACTTTGAAAAAACAAATGAAAATAATTGGAAGTGAAACATCTATACAATTGAAAAAATGGGGGTGAACCATCTTGGGAGTAAAATGTCACAATAGTAAAAAGTCTTGGGAGTGAAAGGTCTGGCATCAGTCCCCTCACCCGGGTTTCTTCATAGATTTTAAATGAAAAATACGACAGATATTAAAACATTGTATAATTATTATATGTGTTGTATTTTATTTATGGAAACTACACTTCCCTTCATAGAGAGTAATGGGTAATTTCAATACCCCGTATCAGGCCTCATTACTTAAAGTTTTTCTATATTAAGAACATATTTCGACTTCCATAATTTGTGTGACGAGCCAAATATTGATGTGTAACAATCAATAATTTTGTTGATGAGCATATTTAATCATAGTTTTTAAGTAACTACTATTTTTTATGCCTAATGGGAAATACTTGCATGCCAGTATAGTACTGTACCTGGAGGATAATTTAACTGGTTAAAATGCCGATCGGGCTTATCACATAAAACTCATATACCTATAAAAAAATTAATATTCTTCTTTCTAACTTTTGTTTATTAAAACATAATATAAGATACTTCATTTGTCGCATGATTTTTTTTCGCGGACTACTGCTAATTTCAAACACTATATATTTTGACAATTATTTAACACTGAACAGATTTTAATTTGAAGATTTCTCTGATAACTGATAAATTGTATGCTGACAGTTGTTGACGCAATGAATTTAAGAACATACAGAAGTTATTTTACTAAATTTTTTTTAGTTCTTTGCATATATATGTAGCTTATTTTTTAAGACTTCAAAAATTATGTGTTTATATATGAAAACATGAACAGGGAGAAATAATTCTCACAAAGGTGCTAGTAAACAAATATTTAATTTCTTTCTGTTGATGTCATATATTATGCTCAAAAATAATTTCATCACTATAGGAGATTTCTGTAAATATAAACAAAGAAGGCCCGAAGCATGCTATTATTAGCCTATACTTCACATCAATTAGAGTGGTTGGACCAATGCTCGGCGCATACCAATGCTCGGCGTAAAAAATATTTTTTTTAGAATATCTGAAAATGTCTCGAGTTATCTCCGATTTAGGTCACTGGTGCTTTTATTTACGTCTTTCACCATTTTATCCTGGTGTGGTTCACTGCTGGTAAAGTCGCGTGAATATGCTAATAGCAGACAAACAACCGTATGTAATCCGCAACATATAAATTATTAAAATCTTTTAACACTAGAGTTCTGGCGCTGTAAAATTTAAATTTAAGGTTGGGTACTTGTAAATGTATGAACCTAATTTGGTTGTTACAATTTATTCAATGTGTTTTCTTCATAAGATAAAAAAGAGATTTTATTTCGAAAAACAATCCTGCATCATGTAGTACACGAGCTATGGTACAATTTCACGCAAACCACTCTTGTTTATCCGGACTATAGACCTTTTCGAAAACCTAGCTAAACACCGTTTTCCGGTACGTTACTGTTTTAGCTCTGGGGAATTACACCAAATGAAGTACATAACACAGTTACGAGCTATGTCTATTTTTCTATCATTATTTAACCGTTAAGGTGAAAAAAATTGAAGTTTTTGAAAATTATCAATATTCGTTTAATATCTATTGCAAATTATTCAAAAAAATAAATTGTTTATAATGAAAATCAATAAAATTCAACAGACGTAGTGGAATCTTCCATACTAAATAAGATTATTTTCTGCGTAAACTTGCATATTTACTTTATTTTATGTATGGAAATATTCATACAATGATATTTAATTATTTTCTTATAAAGAAATAACTGTTTTATTTCAGTTTAATTTTAAAAAAGGCCGAAAACATTGAGTTCGCTATTACACTCCATTTGGTGAATTCCCCAGAGCTATGTACAGAAAGTACCGGAAAACGGCGTTTAGCAAGGTTTTCGAATTCGTGAATCTATTATATATATAATATAAGTTCCAGCCATGCACATAATTATGTGATTTGCGAATTTTACACAATGGCTATTTAAAACAATATCATCGGTCTTGAAATGGACATATATCATTGAGGTTTGTTGACGTTGATTTGAATTTGCCATATCAAATATAGTATTTTTACCCCGAGCGTTGGTCCACCCACTCTATTTAACTCCCATTCTTATTTCCTCCCTCTGTATTTTCAAAATGACACATTGACGGCGCCATTGTGTTTGTTTTGTTTTTATATTCTTTTAAGTTCTTTGTTGTTTCTTTAACGTCTTTATTTGATTTTTGGTCTCATTATTATCTTTGTGATAGAAAAACATTTATCCTAAGTCAGAAATGAATTATAAGTCCATTCCCATTACACAATATACTAATATATAGTTTGTATATTAGTATGAATTTACATTCATTTTACATATACATGTTAGTTGTCACGTAGCATCAACTTTGTACACTGTTCTATTTACATGTAGTCTGTCTATGGCAGTGACTATAGAAGAGAATCTACAGTATTTTCCCAAACTCAATAATGCAAATCAAATGTCATAAATTTATAAAATAATAGCGAGCTCGACGAGCTGGCCCGAAGGGCCTGCTCGCAAAGCGAGCTTTACGGTAACGCGAATACCTGCTAAGTGATGGTTTTGAAAACTTTCGTCCAAAGTACCGAATTGGACACATCGCAACCTTTCGAATTTAAAGGTAACGATAAAAACTGAGGAATTCTGACTGAAAACGGATGTGTAGACTGGTCACCCGCGCACGTTTATTGGACAGGGAACCAGAATAACGGAAGCTGTGATTAAAATAGAAAATCGAAGGCGCCATTTTGTTTAAAATCTGATAAATAAAAACAATTTTTTTGTCGAATTTTGTTGTGAAAACTATCTAGAATGAAAGAAAATGGTCTAACTAAGAAAATGAATCCGAACACCAATATCTTTTATTCAGTCGTTAACGCTGTACAGACGTTTAAAGTATTGTTTACGTGACGTCACAATGTAGCGCCAAACAGCACGTGCAAAACAAACAAATCAAGTACGCTATTTTAATGTCGCAAACGTTTTAAGTTTAACATTTATTTCACTTTAATAATCTTTATTTCGCTTGAAAAATTATAGAGTGAAATAAAATAAACAAAGTTTTATCAACAATTTCAAAGCTCGTTATTCTTTTCACGACAGGGGCGGAGCCATATTTAACACCAATCTCCTACGCAGTGATCTCCCCTTATCAGTACAATTCTGCCAAGGGAGGTAATCAGTGTGAGGAGTTTGATTTAACACAGGGCTGTGACTAAAATAAAGTTTCCTTTTAAAAGGAAAGGCTTGCACAGTTGTGCCTTCATCCCAACATATTTATTTGTTTTTATTTTTGTAAAAACGAATATTTTTGTCAAAACGATTTGAAATCTATTCTCTATTGTATAAAACTAATAAAGAAAATAATCAATCGTAAAATACTAACGTGAAGATCTATCATACTGAAAGGAAACAAGTGTGCACATTTCATTTAATTAATACGCATGTTCCCAGATATGATGCGCTATCTTATAAATCATCACGTGGTAAGGTTAATGATATGCATGGGCTATTTTTAGATTACCTCACCAAGTTCAGTAGATCTAAATATAACTCGATCATGCACTGTGTGATTATTGGACCACCCTTTGAAGACGGAATACTACTACAGTCAACATCCTCTATTGTGTAAAACTAATACAGACACAAAACAATTATAAAAGAAACTAACTTTTGCGTCTTGAAAAAGAATTGAAACGGAACAATTTCGTTTATAATTTATTACGGTTTAAATCAATAAATCAAGTAAAAATACGAATCCTATTTATATAGACAAACTGGGATTACCGAAGTAACTAAAATAGCTTAGATTTCCGTAATATTACTTCGTCTGATTCCGCAGTATGACGGAATCGCCCGAATTGTCACGATTGCAATCGGAAGTACATTGGCTATTATCATTAATCCGAAGAGTGACGGAAAAGGCCGAAAAGTTGCGATTGGCACGATTTCAGCTGGTTTCCCGTTCAATCATGCACTTATAAATGTAAGCAGAAAACCACCTAACCGGAACAGGTTTTCCAAATGAAATGGCAAGCCAACAAAAAGGATTGGAGCACCACACTAAATACCGTATCCCGGTATATACCGGACAAGGCGCTTGAATGATAAAATGCTAAAATCTTGTCTTTTTACCCAACGGAATGAACTTTAACAGGTCTAATTCATCTTTTCACAACGAAATCAAGTACGATAATCAAGGAAAAATGTAAAATTCGGCGAAAAAAAACGATATTTGTCTATTTTGTGATCATGATTTCTGCAAGCGTCTAGAGGTACTGCTCCAATCCTGTATTGAGCTAAATCCTTAACACAGTACGTGTGACGTCACACGCACTCGTTACTGCATTTGAAATAAAAATAAGCGATTATTGGGATTATTCATACTATTTCACGTAAAAAGTACATCGAGCTCGCTTTGAGGCTTTGCCTTTTTCATATTAATACTTTACATATTGTAACTCATCAAGTAAATATGGAATATATTTACCTTTGTTATCCTTTTCAAAACAAAAACTTGGAATCGTTGTAGAAATCAGCATCAACAGATGCAAAAGAATTCTAGCCATCTTTTGTGAATTTAACAGTGTGTAGATTCTACTGAATAATTCCTTCAAAATCGCAATGTAAAATAAATCAATAGCGTTAAAATTGATAAAGAATGCGTTTTTTCTTCTCTCTCTTACTGCCACATCACTAACTCCTTTTTATAAGAAACACTGTGAAATTTGATAGTGTTTGACATTTGACCCCCCATCTAAATCGGTTTTTGGCAGATTGGTTTTCGATTTACCTTATAAATTCTCGCGCTTGCGCAATTGCTGGGAACCAACATGGGTTAACGGCGTGATATTCCGAAATTAGATTATATCAAACTGTTCCCAAGTCAATTCGACCCAAATTTTGCTTCACCTTCGGTAAAATTATTATTACTTGTCAGAGGGAAGTTGACCTTAATTTGTCTATTTGTTCTCTTTTGATACATTTAATATTAGTCAATATGAATAAAAATATTAATTCAAATGAAAATTAACGAATAAATGAATAGAAAACAAAGAAATGAATTTATTTCATGCTTTCCAGTGTTTTACTGTGATTATATTCTGATAAACATCAAGTGAAATTCGTAAAATATAATTTTCACTGTAGCTGGACTAAATCTGAATGCGGATGAAAAGAATATCATAACTAAATGGAATTACAGGCAATAATTAATTTAATGACGTCATACTAAATTTTGCTTCTTTCAGAAAAGATGTGATCATACATCATGTTAAAAATGTAAAAAAAATGAACAATATTTGAGCCGTGTAATGACAAAACCAACATAATGGGTTTGCGACCAGCATTGATCAAGACCAGCCAGTGCATCCGCGCAGTCTGATCAGGATCCTTGTTGTTCGCTTACCAACCCTTTTACAAGTCGAGAAATTGATAGCGAACAGCATGGATACTGATCAGACTGCGCGGATGCACATACTGGTCTGGATCCATGCTGGTCGCAAACCCATTATGTTGGTTTTGTCGTGACACGGCTCATTTCAAAATTGATGATGCGACGCCATGATGTGATGACGTCTCAAAGTAGAATGCGCGACGTTACGCAGCAAAATCAGTAAAAATACTTGAAATCACTTAAAAAGAATGAATTAAAAAGAAAATTTATTTGTTTTACATATACGATTGAAATATATTTCATTCGTGAACAACAGATATTCTATTTTCAGGAGTAGCGTAGTCATTTCAAGCTTATATGCAAAACAAACAAATATCCTCTGTAAATTTACTATGTAAATCTACTTATAAATGAAATATTGAGGAATATAAATCCGTGTATGTACTAATAGTGGAGCGGGAAATAAGGTCTCTCCTGTCAAAATAGTGCAAATTGTGATACAAGCACGAAACATTCAGGAAATCATCTTTACACTATAGAGATTCCAAAAGTGAAGTGACCTTAATCCTAAATTACTAAGTACTTTCACGCATGCGCACTCATATTAATATTGTTTGATAATAAATATTTTCTGAGAGCATGTCTCTGTATTTTTGCAGCACCCCTCAAGCCCAGAACCTTTAGCAGCACCCTTCCTTTATACTTCGAGTAAACTGCGACAATTGTTTTATATGTTGTTATTATTGCTTTTTAATATGTTTTGCATCCATTTTTCTAAAGTCTTTACTCTTCTTTTTTTAGAATTGATTTTTAAAATTCATTCGGTTTAAAATCAATAAATGTAATTTCAGTGCCGTTAAATACAATACAAAACGAGACAAATCAGCGTTTCTAAGTTGTTTCATATCCGTGTACACAATTTTGCAAGCACTTGGCCGCTTTCATTTAAATATACTTCTAAAAATGAAGAGTAGGTCTAAAACAATGGTAGCAGAAGGGATCGAACCACAGACCTCTCATATATAAGACAATTACTTAACCGACTGTGTATTGCGGATGTGACGAGGATCTTCACCTTGTGCTAGTGTGACTTTTCCAAACACTAATTATATATTCCATATTAATAATCGTAAACTATGCGGACATATTCGAAGCTGGATCGAAAATTTAAATGAGTGCTATAATGTATTCATAATGCACAGGTCAATAAAATCAGTGCTATAATGTATTCATAATGCACAGGTCAATAAAATCAGTGCTATAATGTATCCTTAATGCACAGGTCAATAAAATCAGTGCTATAATGTATTCATAATGCACAGGTCAATAAAATCAGTGCTATAATGTATCCTTAATGCACAGGTCAATAAAAGCAGTGCTATAATGTATTCATAATGCACAGGTCAATAAAAGCAGTGCTGTAATGTATTCATAATGCACACGTAAATAAAAGCAGTGCTATAATGTATTCATAATGCACAGGTCAATAAAATCAGACTATACCTGAAGCAGAAAATATAATATATATACATCTAAATATTCATAATCTTTCACTTCCTCAACAACGTGGTTATTTATGTAAAAGGAATATCTACTTTATTTATTGGTACCAAAGCAATGACTTTAGTTTTTCAACAATTTATAAAAAGCTTCCATTCGTAAAAATAGTCTAGGCTTGACTGAAATAAAGTTTCGTTTTTACCAAGGATAAATGTATGTACGAGTAAAGCAAAACAAGAATCTTTAAAAATCGTGTTACATATTATCAAGTGGTCGGGCAAGAGTTATAACCGATACTAAATTTTATCTAGCAAACATTGCGGATCATCTTATAAACATGTCAACAAAGTTGAATTCCAATATCAGACTATGTGTAGCATAAAGGTCTTTGACAGCTTATCTGTAATATGCAGGCTTCATAACCTCTGATCCTCTTTCAAAATTTCATAATGCTTAGTTCTGCCCACAGTTTTCTCGTTTAGGGCAAAGGCATTTTTCACTTGTGGGACTATACGCTGCTGTTCGTGGAATGGCACTTGCTTGTCCATGATAGTAGTATAGGGGTCGGTTTAACGTCACGACTGCGCATGCGCGGCGCCATATTGGATTCTATTTTTAAAATGACATCATCGTTCTATTTTTAGAATGACATTATCGTTTTATTTTTAGAATGACTATTAACATATTTATTTTTAAGTATTTCTTTATAAACATTTAATAAAAATATTACCTCTTTACTTCTTAAGCTCCAGCAACGAAATGACTCCAATATTAAAAGTTCTATCCCTTAATGCGCATGCTCGGATTTGATGACGTCACCAATGCAATAAAACAAGCTCCAACATGTTGCGCGTTATTTATTTAAGGCCGACTGGGCGGACAATTTAAAGTAAACATGTCAAATTTGATCCTTTTAAAGTTTCCGCACTGCCTGGCGTGTGTTTATTTAGGGAAGAATACTTTAATAATGGTCTATTCAAGTGCCAAGACTAGCTTGTTTACATTATTTGGCGTATGTTGATTTAAGAGCAAATGTGCGGACAAAGGCCCATTCAACTGTCAAAATTAATCCCTTTAAAGTCGCCGCGAGGTTTGGCGTCCTGTTTATTTTAGAGCAGATGTGCGGACAATGGTCCATTTAACTGTCAAAATTAATCCCTTTAAAGTCTCCGCGCTGTTTGGCGTTTGTTTATATAAACCCGAATGCGGTATAATGGACATTGATTTTATCAATAGTGTACTTTTTAAGGGTCCCGGTCAGCGAAATGTTTACTTAGTGCAAACAGACTGCTGAAATAAGGATTAAAATTTGTAGAAAATGTTGCAACTTATAGAATTATGACTTATACCTAATACTGTTTTGCTTTCTAGTCTACAAAATGCTGTTTTTTACACTTTGAATGAAATTTCATTCCCTTGCGTATATTTTTGAGCAATTCCATACAAAGAAATTAAGCTACAAACCGGTTTTTTCCTCTCTAGGGCAACCGTTTACGATATGATTTTTCAATTTTTCACTACCAATTGAAAGAACATTTTAATACCTTTCATTTACACCCCCCATTTTCGATTCGATTTTTAGCCGTTCTCGAGTTATGACCAATTAGCGATTTTTAAACCAATTTTTAAAAGTCCATAAAACCGTTAGATTTATATGCCGTTTGAAAGATCTCTGCGAGTAGATACAGAAAATGTATTATTATATGGATCTATCTCTTACC